ACTGTTTCAGGTAGTGTGCTCTGGGGACACCTCCCTGAGGTGCTGGCCTTTGACCAAAGACCAGAAAGTACTCATGGGAACAAACTTGTGAGTGTTATTAAAAAAAAAAAAAAAAAAAAAAAAAAAAAAAAAAAAAAAAATGTGAGTGTTATTAAAAAAAAAAAAAAAAAAAAAAAAAAAAAAACAAAAAACAAAAAAAAACACCTTCCTAGAAGCAGCAAGGGTCCTGATGGGGACATGTTGCCTGCTGCCTAGCAACAGAACACAGGTGTCAGAGGAGAGAGTCCTAGAGCAGGGCATCAGGATAGCAGAGACTGAGTTTGAACATCATCTGTCAGGATTGCTAAAGCCAGGATTTTGGAGTGTGGTGCTCATTTCTTATGTCTGGTTTGGTGTCTGTAACCTCAGTGAGAGGTAGAGGCGCAGGGATCAGAAGGTCAAAGATGTCCTTGGCTATATATTGAGTCAGAGGCTAGCCTTGGCTACCTAAGAACCTGTCTCAGAACAACCCAGGTGTGTGGTGCAGGCCCTTAACCCCAGCACATGGGAAGCAGAGGCAGGTAGATCTCTCTGAGTTTGGAAGTCAGCCTGGTCTACATAGTAAGTTCCAGAACAGCCTGAGCTACATGGTGAGACCCTGTCTTAGAAGGGAGGAAAAACAAAACAACAACCAAAAAAAAAGCTACCACGAACGAAAGGCCCCTCCTAACCCTCCAGATGTGTCTTTTCCTTTTGCTCTCAGTGTGGCAGTGATTGAAATTGCAGGGGATTAGGGGGTGTCCCCTCGCCATTCAAGATCACTTGGCCAGAGCTAGGTACCTAGCAGAGCCAGCCAGTCTGTCCTGACAACCAGAAAATGTGACAGAGCCTGATGCCTGCTCCCCAATCCTTCAGAGGAAACGCAATTTTAAAAAAAATCACGAAAGTTCCTACACTAAGAAATAAGCGCACCTTGGTGGGGGGGGGGGCGGGGGTTGAAACGACACCTGAGAGGTGGCAAAGCTATTCCTTGGCTGTCTGGTCTAATTTTACTTGAATCCAAGGGCACGGGGAGCCAGTTCATATTCAAATACAGCAGGCAGTGGGGGAGGGCCGTTGACGGAGTGGCCAGAACCCCAGCGACTGGGGCTCCTCGGAATAACAATGAGGCCGCCCGCCGGGTCTCCACTAGGCCGGCCTAACGAGATTAGATTTTCATAAATTTCAGACGGTGCCAATTCCTAATTCCTCCGTGTGTGCGGCCTGGAGGCCAGACAGGGCCGGTGCCAGCTGCTTGTTAACTGGGAAGGAGGCTACTACCCTCCCCTGAGGGACCCAAGGGCAGGCTTTCAGCGAAGGCTAGTGGGAGCCGGTGGGATCTGCCCAGCCCCCACTGTGCTCCACTCTCAACTGGAAGGCTGGGGGCAGCACATCTACCCTGAGACCAGGTGGTTGGGCCCGTTTGCTTCCCACCCCCAGTTTGCATTGGGAAGGAGCTGTAGGCTGGAATTCAAACCCAATTCCTTCTCCATATAGTACATATAGTCTGCCATCTAGCCCTCTAGAGTAGGCACAAAGATGTTACCAGAAAGGGTGCCACCTTTACCTTAACCAGCCTGAACTGAAGCGCAGCTTCCTTGGCACATAAGCAAGCTCGGGACCATGCTGGGATTAATGTGTGCGCCACTATGCCCTGTTTGTCTCCTTTTGAGACAGGTTCTCATGTAGCCAAGGCTAGCCTTGTCAGCATCAAGGACCAGCTGTGGAGGTCTTCCTTCTTCCACACAGAATGACCCCTTTCCACTCCTGCCTGAAAGTGTAGATAAGGCTGCTCTTGACCTGGTGTCAATCCTCCTGCCTCACCCTCTCAAGTACTGGAATGAGCGACGTGAGTGACTGTGCCTGGTTTTACTTCACTTTTAATCTAGAGAGTGCATTCTCAGCTCTGCTATGGGCAATGTGGTCCGGACGTTGTGGTTTTGCTTCTCTCTCTGGCCTTGCCAGGGATGCGTCTGGCTGTACCGGGCCTCTGTGAATTGAGGAAGCTGTCCTCTCCCCAGTTGTGTCTGCCTGTGTCCTGAGTATCAGGACTCTTCTCTCTTCTGAACCCAACACCCTACTTCGCTTCGGAGGGTGTTGGGCACCCTGCCCTGCTGAGGGCATTTCCTGTCCTGCCCAGTGGCCAGCCACATCTAACACAAGCCCTTGATATAGACATCCCCATAGACTCAGATTCTTGTTTTGGATTCGTGTTTCCTTCTCCTGGCTTATATGAGTTTTCTGGGTCTGGGTCTTGCTTCAAGTTGGTAGTCGTGGGACCAGGTGGTCACGTGTATGTGCACAGAGTCCCCCCCCCTCACTGAGGGGAGCAATTCTCCCACTTTCTGGACACAGGAATCCAGACTTGTCAAACCCAACTGGCCCTGCAGGGACCTCGTCCATTGTCCCCACATCCTGTCAGCTTCTGCCAGCCCCTGCTGCCTCAGCTCCTGTCCCACCGGTCTTCCCAGGGCCCCAGACCACCCCAGGAGGAGTGTGGTAGCCTGTCCAGTCCCTCGGCTGCCAGGGGGCAGGAACAAAGGCTGCCTACATCTCCCGCTCTGCTCCCTTTTGGCCTGATGTGGGCAGAAGCCCCGGAGACAGCCAGAAGGGGTGTCTCAGGCCAGGGTGAGGAGTGCAGAGTTGAGGGGGAGGGGTTGAGGGCCTTTTGGGGGAGTGTGGGTGTTGCACAAAGTAGGCCCTGTGTCCCTTGAATGCAAGGCTTTATCCTGGGTTCAGCCAGACGTGAGTGCCCAGCACATTCAGGCCTAGCTGCCTAGCCCTGGCCCTGCCTCTCCTGCAGTGACCTGGCCTTCCTCACCATGGCCCTATTCAGGCTCTGTAGGGACCACTAGAGGGGGTCCCTATTTGAGGAATGGGTGAACCCCAACAGAACCCTCTCCGCCGTACCCCCACCTGGCTCCTCCAGGGTGAGGTGAGAATGGGCCTAGTTCAGAAGCTCCAGATGAACCCAGGGCTGGGGTTGGAGTCTCAGCTGTGGCCACTTGGAATGGTGATCTCCTTCACGGCTCTGTGTTTAACCTGAAGATTCTGCCCTTCCATGAGTTCTGAGAAAATGCTTACTGTCAGGGGAAGGTCAGTCCCAGCTTCACACTGTCAGTAGCAGAGTGGGTCCTGCCTAGATGGTTGCCATAGCGCACACAGTGGCCCGTGGTGTGACGGACCTGCGGGTCTGGTGAGCAACTGTGGGGTGTGGGGAACAGGTATTCCGGGGACTGAGTGGGACTGAGGGGATAGCCTGGGACAGTGGGAGACTGAGAGAGCCCGTGAGCTTCTATCCATTCCCAGTAAAGTGCCCACCTTGAGTGTGCTGTTTGATGTCCTGATCAGGGTAACGAGGAAGCCATGGGAGAGGGTTGATCCTGCTCGGGTTTGAGGTTTGGGCATAAGGTGGCTTTCAGCCCCTCCTCCTCAGTTTCTGTCTCTGGTCAGCACAGAACTGAGTTACCCTTGCAACTGAACTTGTTGCCTTGGGGCCCCTTCCGTCTTTTGCATCAGGGAGTGCTCCCCCCAAGTTTTCCCTCTAAGGCGGGAAGGCATATCACTGTGCCCCTACCTACAGCAGGGCCTTCAGGGTTGACCGTGGTCTGCCGACTCCAGTGTCCTGCAGTGCTCCTGGCATCCTGCCTGTTGCTGGGCCAGGGACCAGGAGGGGGGCACTGCTGGTACCAGCTGCGGCCAGCTGCTGAGTCTCGGCCACCAGACTCAGCAGAACCACCCACTTACAGTGTCAAAAAAGCTTCTTCCCTTCCCAGTACCTGAGGGCTTTTCCTCTTTCTGGGGAGAGATAAACCAAAACCGAAAACAAGAAGCAAAACAAAGGAGGACCTTAATATCAGACTGTGTCTTTGCTAGGAGTCTAGCCATGACCCTGTGTGGTGTGTGGGACTATGGGGTATCCTTTGTGTGGCTGTGTGATGTGTGTGCTTACGAGCTATCTGTGTGGTTGTGTATTGTGTGTGAATTGTTTTGTGTTTCCTGGGGTGTCTTTGAGGTGTGAAGCAGGGTCCGCCCATTGGCTTACTGGGGTATTTGCTGGAGTGTCAGAATTGCGGTGGGATGTTGGGGATGCATGTGGGAATGTTGAGCTGTGTAGATGCGTGATTAGGAGTGTTGGGGCTGTGTACATGTGTGGGCATGAGTGTTGAGCTGTGTAGATGCGTGGTAGGAGTGGTGACTGTAGGTGCGTGGGTAGGAGTGGTGGGCTGTGTAGATGCGTGGGCATGAGTGATGGGCTGTTTTGAGGGATATAGAAGGGCTGGGGTGTTGGAGTGTACAGGATGTACATACCCTAGGCTGTTGTTTGGGGGAGTGTAGAAGGGTTGGAAAGTTGAGATGAAGAACCTTGGGGTATAAGACTGCTATTTTGGGGTGTTTAGGAGGGTTTGGGTGTTAGTATGGGAGAATGTTGACATAGAAACACTGGGCTGTTGTTCGGGAAATGGAGAGATGTTGGAGGGTTGGAATATTGGGCTGTTTGGGGGTGTGTAGGAGGGTGGGAAGTTGGTGGGGAGCTGGGGTGTGTAGGAGTCTTGGGATGTTATTTTGGGATACGCAGGCGGTTTGGAATGTTGGTGGCGGGGAGGGCTGGGGTGTGTAAGAGCATTGGCTTGTTGTTTTGTGGGTGGGAAGGTTGAGTGTGTGCATGCTCTGTATTGCCCTTGCTTCTGTTCACATTTTACCCAGTATTCCCTTGGCCCTCATGAGCCCCCTCTTCCCCACATCAAGGACCCTGGCTACAAGGGATCTAAAACACAAATTCCTTTCTGAGACCCTGACCATGCCTGGCATCTCTGAGGACTGAGACTGTGTCCTCATGCATGTCCGTGGTTGGTGCCAGGCCACTTCCTGGCCAGGGTCTCTGAGCTGTCTCCCCTGGGCCTGAGTTCTCAGCCTTACATCGATGGGAGCCTTTGGAGGGCGCCTGGTCCTAAAGTCTGCTGTATCTTTCTGCCCCACAGCGGAGCTGGAGTTCGTGCAGATAGTGGTCATCGTGGTGGTGATGATGGTAATGGTGGTGGTGATCACATGCCTGCTGAACCACTACAAGCTATCGGCCCGCTCCTTCATCAGCCGACACAGCCAGGCCAGGAGGAGAGACGACGGACTGTCCTCAGTAAGTGACTCTTGGGGCTGCGGCCTGGGTTTTTAGCTGCACTGAGCACTGACAGAACAACCACCGTGCCCTGCTTGGGTGTCTCAGGAACCCCTGGCCTCCTCCCGTCACATAACAAGAACTGCTAGGTGGATCCAGCTCTGCAGCATGCTCTGGGGCCCAAGGGTGACTGAAAGTCTGGGCTGAAGGAATGTGCACCTTCAGGGCAGATGTGATGCTGTGCCTGAGCCTGAATGCCCAGCGGTCCCAGGCACAACAGCAGCTGAGAGGCTTCTGCTGTATTCCCAGAGGGAGCAGGAAGTGTCAGGTACAATTCTGTGGGCTCCCCAGAGCGTCTCTGAGGAACTCCGCCTTGCAAGGCATCTTAACCTCCATGGTTATAGACAGGGCTGTGGGGAGCAGAGAGATGGGAGACAGCTAAGGAGAGACAGCTAGGGTGTATAGAGACAGGTCAGGCCTCCCAAGGCCATTGAGAAGCCAGATGAAGACAGAGCAAAGGGACAGCTGGTGCTTGACTGGGTGCCCACCAGGACAGAGGTGTGGGAAGGATGCCCCCAGTCTTGTGGCTGTGACCTAGATAGAAGGAGGTGGCAGTCCTGTCCTTTCGTCAACATGCCAGCCACCAGTACGGAGGCCATGGAAGCAACTGGACACCCGAGAGGCCTCTTCCGGGGCCCGAGTCTCATCTGGCTCCTCAGGTGTGATGAGCCGGGAAAGGCTCCTCCTGAGTAATTCAGGCTTGGCACGGTAAACCAGGCTTCTCTGGCTGGAAGGCCACCTCATCCACGTGACACCTCCTCACCCGCCAGCTCTCTGCTGAGGGTTCCCTGTGTGCCCAAGCTCCCCTGGCACAGGAGATAGCCAGGACCATCCCAGGGCTGTGGATGGCAGAGGATCATATACAGGCAGGGGCACCACATAAGGGACTTGTGGCTCTGGGGGATGCTGTGGGTGAGAGCTGCAAGGGAGCAGCTCTGAGGTCCAGTCTTATAGCTGGAGACATGGCACTCCTGAGAGGGAGGGAGGACCAAGGACAGCTCGCCTTGGGGTCAGAGTTCAGGGTCTTGGAGTTCAGCCATCCTCAGAGCCCAAGAAGCCAGTGCCCCCCGTGTGTGCCGAGCCCCTTGTTAGCCTGAGTGACACTGGGTAACTAGTTGCAGGTCATTTACTTACATCCTACCAGGGGCAGTCAGTCACTAGAGTAACTTAATGTACCCAGAGGGGCTACTTGGTCTCTATGCAAACAAGTGTGTGCACACGCACACACACTAGTTTTGCTTGAGCAAAACTGGTCTTGCTACTTCTGGGGATCCTAGAACCATCCTCTGCAGTACTGAGAACGGTCATACTGTACCAGAGGGGACCCTGGCTGACACAAGCTTATGCATTAGTACTGATCCATTATTACTGTGAGCCTCAGGGACTTCCTGGACCCAGCCGCATCCCACTGGACTCCAGAGCCACTGCCTGAGTAGTCATCTCCTGTGGGTGGCACTTGCCCTCTTGACTGTGACATCGGGCCCCTTTGGGAGCCTCTGTCCTGCCCTCAGGTGCTCACCATCAGTAACAGTGAGGGGAAGGGGGACGTAGCCCCTTTGCGGTTCACAGTGCAGGCAGCATAGGAAGCTGCTCTCTGGGCAAGCAGGCTGTGGCAGGAGGGAGCTAGCATGTGTATAATCCCAGGGGACAGTGGGGACAGTCGTCTCCAGGATGGCTCAGCAGGTGCTGGGAGGATGGGACAAGATCAGCCACGCTGGGCAGAGTTCCCCAGTTTTGGGGGATGTCCCAGGCTGGCAGAGGCAACTAGAGTCTAAGAGCTAAGCCAAGACAGAACTGGCCATCGCCCGAGACAGCAGGGCCGTCGCTGGCAGGTTTGGGCATCTCCGCTAACGTCAGGCCCTGTTTCAGTGCGTCACCAGTTCATGGGGCAAGCGCTGTGACAGACAGAGGCAGACACACACCCTGAGGGCAGAACCGGCATCTGCCGTATAGGAATCTTGCCTGCCATGCCCCGGCTCACCTGCCTCATTTGTTATCTCTGTCACCTAGCAACAGGCTTTGCCATCTGCCTGGCAAGTAGTACCAGCCATGAGTGAAGTCTAGGGCTCACTCCCTCGCAGAGGAGAAACTGGGGCTCAAGAGAAGTGGAACACTTGCCTAAGGCCAGACAGCTTTCACGGCAGTGTCATGTGACGACCCCACAGCCCACTGTGGGGTGTGGTTAGCCAAGAGTGTGAAATGCGACGACCACAGAGGGGCACCGGGAGCAGATGGCAGAGGGAGAGGAGCTTGTTCTGCATGGACACCTGAGCTCAGCTGCTGAGACAGACAAGACATTGGGCCACAGGGAGAGTGTCTCCTTCACTCTGTCCCCAGAGCCACCTGGCTGCATAAACAGGGAGCCCAGGGGAGACCTGGAGCAGAAGGTGACGTTCCCCTGGGACTCCCTCTTTCTGACATAGTGTGTCTGAGTTGTCTCCAGGCCTTGTGACCTCCCAGAGAGACCCAGGTACAATTGTCTGCCTGGGCTCTGTGTGTCACACTGGGCTCACCCGCCCCTCCAGGCCTTGCCCCTTGGGTGTCTCTGGCAATGACTATTTTTCACGGTGACTTTGGAGTTGGGGCTCCCCTCCTACATCTCAGTACACCTGCCCATGTGCAGGTCACCTCTCCTAGGCGCGGAACAGCAGAACCCAGACCTGCCTGGCTGAAGGCCTCAGCTGCTTCCCGCCCTTGCCTTCACACTGACCAAGTCGCTCTCTGGGTGTTTTTCCCACGTTATCAGCATGAGGGTCAGGTGCAGGGGAGATGCGCATGCCCACTCCTAAGCACAGGCTGTCCTTCAGGTGTCCACTGAGACACCCGGTCCCTACCTTGACTTCCTGTCCACCCCTCACAGCCTGTGCCTGTGACGTTGCACCTGGCTGTAGGTATCACCTCCTCGGCGGAGGCTCCCCTGGGGAGCGTGGTTTGTCAGCGAGGTTAACCTCAGACCAGGAGCTCAGCTAGGATGAAGCCGGGCTTTTATCTTCTCATCAGCCCTTGGCCTAGGTCTCCTGTTCCCCATGGAGCCCAGCCTGCCAAGTTTGTGTTCTGGGGCCAAAGGCAAAACTATAGTAAGACCAGATACAGGGGTCAGCGAGAGTGGGAGCTCGGGCCCAGGTTTAGAGATTCAGGTCTTTCTCAGCCTGCATCAGGGTGGGTCCCAGCTTCTCACCTGCCAGAGGTTTGCCTTGCAGAATTTGATGGTGACTACTTGCCCACAGGGAGGGAACAGTTGTCACTGTGGAGCTGAGGGGAGCATCAGATGCCCACCTAGAAGCAGCCTGAAGGGACTTTCCGGGCAGGTAGTAGCTCTCAATCTGGAGTTGGACTCAGGTGGGCATCTTCAGGCCTCATCAGCTGGCCTGGCCCAAAGACTGTATGCCTGGATTTGTGAATAAAGTTTTATTGGCACACAACCCTGCCTGTTAGTGTCTGTGAGTTATTAGGGCTTAACAAAGCAGAAACTATTCCAAGTTTATTTTTTCTGATACAGTGTTTTTAGTTAGCCTTTGAGAGTTCATGCATACGGAAATGCTATTCTGACGCTTCGTGGAAATGGAGGGCAGACTCCTGTTCCTGGGAGAGGCTGTGGAGACGCTGTGGTGAACCAGGGCAACCCAAGTGAGAAGTAATCACAGAACAGCAGCCCACACCACAGCTCCTAGCCAGTGTCAGGAGCAAGGAAGGGCCTTCGTCACTGCTGGCTGGGACTGTCCTCCTCCCCACAGTGGCTGCCTGAAGCGCTAGAGTTAGGGAACACAAAGTGATGGGTAAGTGGTGGTCAGTGATTGTAACGTAGGCATGAGCTGTGAACCACACTAGATGCTCGCATGGGGGATAGGGTAGCCCCTCCCGGCACAACTGAGGCTTTGCAGAAGACAGGCCACGGTGAGCAGGGAAGATGCGGTTGTGTGCAGGAAGGGAAAGAGCCAGCGTTCAGGTCTGCTTTTCTGTTGCTGTGATGAAACATTGTGACTGAAGGTGGCATTAGATGAGGAAGGGGGGGGTACTTCAGTTTTCACTTCCAGGTCACAGTTCAATCACTCAGGGAAGTCAGACTGGAACTCAGGCAGGAACCTGAAGCAGAAACCAAGGAGGGGCCTTGCTTGCGGTCTCACTCTCCAGCGCATGCTCAGCTAGTTTTCTTCAGCGTGCCCAAGGATGGTGTCACCCACAATGGGCTGGGCCCTCCTCCTCAGTCAGCAGTCAAGACGGCATCTCACCAGCTGGCAATAGGCCACTCTGATTCTGGCCGTTTTTTTTTTTCAGTGGAGATTCCTCCTTCTAGGTGACTCTAGGTCATGACAGACTGACAGGAAAGATTAGCCAGGGCAGCTGGGATCGGAGGTACAGGAGGTGCGCATCGCACATGCTGTAGGCAAGGAATCGCGTGTGAGGGCCGCGGTTTGCTGGGGTGGCTGGGGCTCATCCCAAAAGCCGCAGGAAATGCAAAAGAATCTCAGTAGATTTGGGGGAGGATGTGGGTAGGAAGGAGTAGGCCCTGTGTGGTGGTCAGCAGAGACAGAGCAGAGTCAGGACCCTGGGAGTGCAGCCTGTGAGGCCTGTCAGAATCTCAGCTCCCATCTCCCTAAGTGTGTGCCTGACTTTATCTGCAAGACAGGCCTGGAAGGCTGGTTCAGGCCTTCACCATCCAGAACACAGAGGTACCCAGGCAAGTGAACCATGGGGCTGTTTGTGGGAGGGAGAGCTGAGGGAGGCTCCAGTGAGTGGGGTGAGGACAGCAGTGGGGAGCTGGGAGGAGACACCTGTGGGTCTGGCTTGTCCAACTTAAAGGTGGCCGGGGCCATTCTCTATGGGAAAGAGACATAATCTCCGCCTGCAGGTGCGGTCCCCGGAACTGCCTAGTGGCCACTGGGTAAACTGCGAGCCTCTGCAGCTCGGGGAGAGACTTCTTCCCCAAACTCTAGGAAGCAGCTGTCCAGAGCAGTGTTAGAATGAAGGAAGGGTGTGTTCATCACCTGGTTTGTGATGATGGGATGTCGGCTGGTATTTGACAAGATTGTAGCCTTTGAGTATTCGAGTGTATTATTTCTGTAGGTACATCTCAATGAAGTCAAAATTAAGGTATCCTTTCCCCAAGCTGGGAGTTACACCTGAGTAAGTTACACTCAGGCAGCTCAGTTCCCCCCCAAGATCCCACAGAAGAGGACATGAGCTTCATGAGTGACAATCGTCACACAAATGACTCCGTGTCTGTTGATGGATAAAGATGTTTGAGACTCGAGAGCAGTGGTTCTCAACCTTCTAATGCTGCGGCCCTTTAACACAGTTCCTAATGTGTTGTGGTAACCTCAACCATAAAATAATTTTCATTGCTACTTCACAACTGTAATTTTGAATGAATCGTAGTACTAATATCTAACATGTAGGATATCTGATGTGTGATGCCCAAAAGGGTTGCGACCCACAGGTTGAGAACCACTGCTCTATAGAGACCTGGGCACTGAACATCCGCAGGAAATTGGTCCCACAGTGGCGTGGACAATCTAAAGGCCCTGTAGCATGTGCTTAGCATGCTGAGACATGCCTTACCTGGTTTCTGTGAATTGGGGGAGGTAGTGGTGGCACCTGTCACTTTCTGTTGTACCCTGAAGGTCAGGTGATTGTCACATTCAACATTAAATTCATTCACCTCTCCAGCCAGATGTATGCATCCACATGTTCGGGTGCTGACCCTAAATATTCTGGGCAAGATCTTATAGGGAACAAACAGTTCTGGAAGAGAAGGCAGGTGGGAAGGCCATGCAGGGTTTCCTTCTAAGCCAATTAATTACAGATTTGCTCTAATGCCCAGAGAAAGCTGACTGCAGGCTTTGAGAGCGGGTACCACCTCAAAGATGGTGCGTGTGCTTTGGAAAGCCTGACAGGGCAGCAACAGGAGCTGCAGGAGAAGCCAAGGAGGCCGTGGTGGACTTGTCCTTGCCCTCACAGATGTGGGGAGGGTGGAGGATGAGAAGCGGGTGAGCCCAAGACTTCAGGACGAAAAGTTTGCATCTAGGATGGGTGGAACCTTGTGTCAACAGCTCCATCCACTGTTGGTTGATCTTGTACCCTTTCCCACTCTACAGGAAGGATGCCTGTGGCCCTCAGAGAGTACGGTGTCGGCCGGAATGTCAGAGGTAAGACCAAGCCCCACCTTCCCTCCTGTGGTACCCCTTGCTCTCAGAGGCTGGACCCTTGTCCAGCATCACACACACTCCCTGATTCCAGGGGGGTCCCCAGCAGCATCTACAGCTGGCCCTGTTTTTAGGGGGCTTCCAGGGGTTTACCTGGGGCAGCCCCTACTGAGCCCTCAGCTCAGTCTCTGAATCTGGGGATCCAATCTGAGTCTGCCTCCCTCCCTGACCTTACTCTCCGTCCTCCAGCCGCAGGTCTATGTCCCTCCTCGACCCACTGACCGCCTGGCTGTGCCCCCTTTCGTCCAGCGGAGCCGTTTCCAGCCCACCTACCCCTACCTGCAGCAGGAGATTGCCCTGCCACCTACCATCTCACTGTCTGATGGGGAGGAGCCCCCACCCTACCAGGGTCCCTGCACCCTCCAGCTCCGGGACCCTGAACAACAGCTGGAGCTGAACCGAGAGTCTGTGCGCGCACCTCCCAATCGGACCATCTTTGACAGCGACCTTATGGACAGCACCATGCTGGGAGGCCCTTGCCCCCCCAGCAGTAACTCGGGCATCAGTGCTACCTGCTACGGCAGTGGTGGGCGCATGGAGGGGCCGCCCCCCACCTACAGCGAGGTCATCGGTCACTACCCAGGGTCCTCCTTCCAGCACCAGCAGAGTCACGGGCCGCCCTCCCTGCTAGAGGGGACCCGGCTCCATCACCCTCACATTGCCCCCCTGGAGAACAAGGAGAAGGAGAAACAAAAAGGTCACCCCCTCTAAGAGTGGGAGCCGGGGCACCTGTAGGCAAAATGGCAAAAACACTCTGCACTTAAGAGAGAAGAGAGAGGAAGGCAGGGGACACACAGGCCTCGTGGCATGTGCCAGTTCTCCTCTATGTGTATAAATATTTACATGTTTTGTGTGGTCTGAATGCAGAAGCTCAGAAAGCTTGCAAAAAAAAAAAAATTACCACATTTCTTTGTCGAGCCGCGTCTTGAAGGCAGAAGAGAAAACCCTCCACTAGTCTTTTCTCATTGTTCTTAGTTGAGCTCCGTGCGTGAATGCTTAATTTCTTTTTGTTTATGATGGTTTCACTTAACTTTAAAGACATATTTGCACAAAACCTTTGTTTAAGATCTGCAATATTATATATATATAAATATCTATAAGATAAGAGACACTGTATGTGGGAGAGCAGGAGTATTTTTGTACTAGAAGAGGCCTATTAAAAAAAAGTTGTTTTCTGAACTAGAAGAGAAAAAAAATGGCAAATTTTTGAGTGCCAACTCCGAAAGTGTGTATTACCTTGTAAAGAAAAAAAAACCTACAAAGCAGAGGTTTAGAGCTATTTATATAAATGTTGAGATTTTGCACTATTTTTTAATATAATATATCAGTGCTTGTTTGATGGAAACTTCTAGAGTGTGTTGAGACTTGAAGGAGAAATGTTGAGTTCAGTCTGAACAGAGCAGTGGAGGTTCCCCTCCGGGTCTCAGAGGGGCCCCCTGTGCAAGAAAGGCAGGCTTCCCAGAGTCCTGCACCTGCAAGCCAGCCGAATGCTTCTGTCCAGATCGGCTGTGAGCAGTTACACATTCCTGCCGAAGGGACCCACATCGTCCCTCTGGGTTACAGCTGAGTCAGGACTGCCCCCACAGAGGCACCTGATTTCAGATGCCTTTCCCAGTATGAAAATAAACTGTTACCGAAGGAATCTTAGTTTTTTTTTTTTTCTTCCTCTTAAAACATAAAAACTGAAGGTTCAGTGGAAGGGGTAAGGTGTGCCCCAAAGCCAGAACTACTTCGTGCATTTGTTACCGGGCGGAGGCGGGAGTTGAGGGGGATCCAGCGGCTAACTTCCTGCAGAAGGGGCTTGGACACCAGTGTTCCAAGGCTGGTGTGTATGCAGGTCTATCTACGCTGGCATGTAAGAAAGGCCCAGGGTGTTAGCGCTCGACCTCAGACAATCTATGTTCACCTTATTGATTTCTCACTTCAAGAAGCCAATTAATAGTCAAGCCAAGATGGGAAGGGACAGTCGCCCACGTCCCCCCAGGAAGCCCAAAAGGGTTAGGAAAGACTGCCATCAACACGAGCCCATACCTCAGGCTCTAAATGCCTTGCCTTCTCACTGGCGCCATTCTCTTCTACCCGGAAACGGTTGTTTCTGAGGTGAGCATTTGTCTGCGTGAGGTATGATAAGGATAGCTGTCCTGTCCTACGGGAATACAGGAGAAAAGGGGGTGTGTGTAGTGAGGTCCCCTGGGGTTCAGCAGGGGCATGCCTCAGGAGTCTCTGTAGTTCATGGGGGTGACCCCACCACCTCTCCCCATCCACAGAGGTGTAAACAAGAGATGAGGGCCTATATCTTAGATACAGCACTTTTTATTACTTGAAAATCTTTTGGAGTTCAGACCACCATGCCTGTTTGTACACATTTTTTTAAGTATAGGGTACCCCCTGTGAGCCCAGAACTCTGCAGACCTGCCTGACAGAAAATCCCCATGTCTGTCAGTGTCGAGAGCAGCTTCCCAGAAGGGGTTGACTTAAAATTGGCTCCTCTCTCAAAGAGGATTCTTTGAAATGTCACAGAGATATCAGAGTTTGCTGTTCCCCAAGGTGTCCCCGTGTTTTCCTGCATAATGTCTGATGCCTTATGGAGGAAGTGCCCTCCTTCTGGGCTCAGGGTGGGGGCACTCCTGTCCAGTGTCTCATTCACAGGGCCAGTCCAACAAGGGCTACTGCTGGACCTTATTGTCCCCGTCATTCCTGTCCCTTCCGAACCATGGATGTGCCCTGCTTGGTGAGGCCCCTCCTGGCCCTCCAGCCTTCTTGTGGAATACTGCATGTGGTTCCGTCCAGGTGGGAAATCTAGACACGTGAACGTCCTTTGTGTATGTACCCACTGTCCTCTGGGGCAAAACTCACTGTCCGTGCTTCTTTGTATAGGTTGTTGCAGAAGCTTGCTGGACCAATCTGGCTTAGGGGCAGGTTCTCTGACAGCAACCCCAGGGTTGAAAAGTGGGGTCCCTTGGATGTGGGTTGTAGGAGCTTGAAGGGGGAGGGGCTTGTCAAAGTCAGAACACCTTGTGTCCTGAGCTAACATGCAGGCTGCTGTCCGTGGAACCCAGGGCTCTGGGAACTCTCCTCTAGGTGTTGGTCTTCCCGTGGTAAGTTAGGCAGGTCCTGGGAAGTGGCTGCTTAGAGAGGGAGCTGGTGGCTTGGGAGAAGGGGTTCTGAGAAAGTGACAACTCTCGGCTCCTCCTGTCCCAGGTTCCCACGTCAAGTGTTGGCCCTGCAGAGCCCAGGCCGCAGGGTGGCTTGGCAGCACCCAAGCCTGTGTGGCAGCTTCCCAGGCCCGGGTCTGTGGGGTAGCCTTGCAGGACTTGGGTCAGCATGACTTTGCCTGCTGCAAAAGGAGCTTTTACAGAAGTCTGTTGTTTGAGCAAAAAGCTAAGATATGACCTCATACCCAACATGCAGCCGGAATTAGGGCCGGGCAGAAACCAGACCCCTTCGCTGTTGGTCCTTGCTGTGGCCTGCGTGACAGACGTCCATGTGCGCCCCAGTTTCCAGAACCGTAGAATATTGCAACGGTGAGAGAAAGTGATCTGTGCTCTGGACTTCAGAGCTGGAAATGCCGCTGCATGAGAGAGTGGTGGGCCACACCACCTGTGTCCCCCACAGCCCTCCCCCAGCACGTCGTCCTGCTGCACTGCTGTTTGGCTTTGGAATGCAGCTGTCCCCACCCCACTCCCCTTCTGTTCCTGGTCAGCACCTGGGATTTCTCCATGCCTGGAGCACACCACTGCGGGAGACTGTACCCAGGCCCGAAGAAGCTGTTCTTTATGTATCTATAATCTCTGGTGCCAATGATGGCGTTCTGAAAAGCCGCAATACAAAATAAATTTTACAATTCTTTGGAGAGTAAATTTTCTCCCTTTTTTATTTTTTTAATTTATTTGTTTTTGGTTTAGCTGTGTAGCTCTGCCCGCCCACTCCCATCCTCTGCAAAGCCCAGGGCGCGTGGAGTGAAGACAGGCTACAATAGCTGCTGGGGACCCTTAAACAGTTTGTTCAACCTCTCTATTTCAGATCAGATGGTGCTGCGGGGCGGGGGAGGGGCGGTATGAGAAGAAACCCTTGCTCCCACAAGTGGCTCCAGTAAAAGGGGGGGGGTGACTGGTGGGGTTAAAGAGTTGTCTAAATATTACCATTCTGCTGTCCTGGGAAACGATCACTTAGTACCTGAGGAAGGCTCAGGTAAGGTCTCAAAGTCTGAGACACAGGCTGTGTGCGAGAGGTCTAGTGTTGCCCCTGACGCCAGTGGAGGGGAAGAGCAGGCTGTTAGCGGGTGAAGCCCAACCTCAGGCTGATGTCAGTGTGGCCTGTAGGGTAAGCCGCTCCCTGGAGTGCTTGACACCAAGCCTTTCTGGTCCTCAGTGCCCCCAAAGTCCTAGCAGCACATGGGTACCCCACCTCTGGGTGCTAGGCTCAACACAAGGCTCTTGGATGCTGGGGCAGGGCACATAGAACCCCTATAAGAACTGCAAGGTCTATCCCAGCCCTAGGCCTGGTCTGGACTCCAAATCCCAGCAGGCCAAATTCTGACCCCTCCCTGGGGATGGGGTCAGGACCACTCCCCAGGGTACTTAAGTGATCTCCCAAAAGAGGAACACATGGTCTCCCTTTCTTCCTCTTGGGGGTGGCGTTTCTGCTTCCCAGTTCCCCCTCGGGGCCACCCAAAAGCGCAGATCTCCCATTATACCTGGATATTTCTTAAAAAAAAAAAAAAAGCCATATTTCAAACTGCTTCCTAAATACTTCTCATGTAAATGTCAATTAACAGCTTAAATAATATGTTCAAGCCAGGACTGTTAACTTCACCATGTAACATTTTTATAACTTAATTGGAACAGCCATTTTACTAGTCACTAAAACTCAAAATCATAAAAAAAAAGAACTGCAAGGTGATTTTATCACCCCAACACATACAGTACCCAGTACAGAAATGGTTTATGTAGCACCATCTTTAAGGCCCCGGGTTTTTAAAACCATCAGTATTCAGTCAATACGGAGGTGGAAGTCCCAGGGGTGACTGCCGTTTGGCCTCTGCCCAGGGCTACCTAAGCTTGTGTGAACGTCTCAGTTCTTTGAAAACTGCTGGACCAGGGCACGTGGCTGCCCACCTTCAATGCACGCTTCCTCATAGAGAATCTGGGAGGAGCCTAAAGAGCTTGGTCCGCCACTACTCATGGCGCCCCACGTGTCCCCAAGTCAGCCACCCTTATGGTCACCAGGTGCCCCTTCAGCCTCTGGATCACTCACAGAGCCACAAACACTAAGGCAGAGCCAGGAGCTAGCCCAGCTAAGGACAGCCAGTGCTGGCTGTGTGCCTCCTAGGTGCCCAAGTTAGTAACTTGGGATTGAGTGCCCCCAATCCTATAGCACCCACAGGTGAGAGAGAAAGAGAGGGAGGAGTTTGGGCCTCAAACTATGGAGAGGAAGAAAAAAATACCACAATAAATGTTTAATTAACCGTCTAGAAACCCGAGCATCATGTCAAATTCATTAACCGTTCTATTAGTTGTCATGAAAACTTCATGATACTTAGCTATAGTTGAAGAGAATTTATAGTGGGATATTCTCACCCAGTAAGCATTCCCAAGAGTGATATTTGGCGAGGAGACTATGGCCACCTTTGACGAAGTGAATTTCTAGTGGGCAGATAATTTGTAAGATAAAATGTTGGGTTTTTTTAACAGTCCATGGGTGGGGGGGGGGAGTGCTGGAGATGACTCGGTAGTAACGTGCCTGCCATACAAGCATAAAGACCTGAGTTCAAATCCCCAGAACCCACATAAAAGCTGATGTGGCAACTCACACCTGCAGCTCCAGCACTCCAGTATTTGGGACTGGCAAAATCTGGAGATCCTAGAGCTTGCTAGCCAGCTAGTCTGGCAAATCAGTGGGCTTTGCGGTGGGCGACAGATCATGTCTCAAAAATAAAGTGGAGAATTCTAGAAGACACCTGACATTCTTTGTGCGCACACACACACTCAGTGATGTAGAGGAGGACACCTGACACTCGTGTGCACACACACACACAGTGATCTAAAGGAGGGCACCTGACACTCGTGTGCACACACACACAGTGATCTAGAGGACACCTGATACTCCATGCATGTGCACACACACACACACGTACGCACTCAGTGAAATCCAGATGTGTATCCCTGTGATCCCTGTGCTCTGGAAGCTGAGGCTGAAGATTTGCTGCAAATCTGAAGCCAGAAGAGAGAGAGACCTTGTCTCAAAACAACACACAAAAAAAAAAATAAGTAAAACACGATGTTGCAACTATAAAGTTCAAAGTCAGGTATGAGTCAGGTATGAGTCAGGTATACCCAGTTGCTGGGTATGGGAAATATGGAAAAGAGATTCTGAAACACGTTGATCAGCGGTGAGGAAGGGGATAAAACCTCCCTCAGACACGAGGGCTGACCAGTGGCCACCTTCCCTGGCCTCTGGCCCACTTCCTGCAGATGGCTATCCCTATTGCCGATTCCCAGCTCACGAGGAAGAGGCCTTCTCTAGCCTTGTATGACTCCCTGGGAAATGGCTTCTCTGAGAGCCTGGATGGGTGCCTGGCCTTCCAACCCCAGGTGTCACACACTGCTGACACAAACCAGGTGTCTAAACTGGCAGATAGCCAGTTGTGGTCTAACCTGGTACATGACCAGACAAATAGGGCTTTGTTCCACTGCGAGACAGCTGGGGACAGTGATAGAAAGGCAAGCGACCTATACCACGTCCTTAGCTCCCCGAAGAGACCTGGTGCAACCAGTCCCAGGGTAAGAACTGTGTGATCCCACTGTCAAAGGGAAACAGAGACCCATAAAGAGCAGAGCCTTGTTCACGGCCCAGGGCTAACAAGTAGAGATGCCCAAGTGTGCCCAACTCCAGTGGACAGAGGGGGATACTGAATTGCTCTGTCTTGTAGGAGCTGTACCCCCAGGGACTTCAAGAGGGTGTCATCCCACATGTCATAAAAGATCTTTTTTCTTTGCTCTAGACAGGGCCCAGAGACACCTGGCAGTCCACTTCCTGTCGTCTTCCATGTCTGATCTCTGACCAAACCTAGCTGGCGGCCTTCCTTCTTCCCCAGAGTCTGGTTATGGGGAGGAAGAAGATGGGTTTCGCCAACACAGTATGTGGTAAAAATATATCTCTTTTAAAAGAGAGATCACAAAACCTAAAGACTTGGGATCAGTAACATGTAATTATCCCCAGCTTTGGGTGGAGAGTTCTAATAGTTTCTAGAAAAAACAGGAGCATTTGGAAGGAGTGTGCTCTTGCTCTTCAGGAGAAAAAGGAGACCAGCTTGGCCAGTCATCTTGTATCTCAGGGCCCTTCCTAGCCTGGAGGAGGAAGCCCCTTCCTTTCTTCCCCATTGGCCTTGAACCCCACCAGAGGTTCTGAGTGTGCAGAGCTGAGAAGGCAGCTTCTTAGGACTCAGCTTAGCATCTGCTAGAGAAAGAGGCTGGGCACTGCTGGGTGAGGCAGGGGATGACCTCAGGGCAGACACAAAGGGGCGTGTCCTTGCTCTGTCTTTGAGGAAGAGCCTTGTATTGGCAAGGACACCTGGGTCTCTGCCGATGTCCATTGTGATAGATATTGTTGTGATCTGGAGTACTGTGACCCTGATTTTATCTGGGCACACAGTGGTCCAGAATACAGACCACCTTTCGCAGAATTCCTTGTGTGTCAGGATCATAGTCCTGTCGGTTAGGATGTAAGTGGAAAGTATGTGGAGCCTGCAAGATGTGTTCTCTAAAAGGGGCTACCTACTGCATTTGTTTGGTTCTGCTGCTGTGATAGACATTATAAAAAAGCTAACAAACAAACAGCTGGAGAGGGAAAGGTTTGTTTCAGCGTGTATGTCCCAGCCCATCCCAGAGAGACACCATGTGAGAACCTGGAGCAGAGACCAGAGAGGGTGCTGCTTCCTGGTTCATGCTCAGTCAGCTTCTCATAGACAGCCCAGGACAAGCAGCCTAGGAGTGATGCCTCCCACAGTGGTCTGGGTCCTCGCATGTCAATCATCAGGAATCAGATCTGGGCAATTTCCCTACGGATGCTCCCTCAGATAGCTCTGTATTCAGCTGACCCCTTAAGCTGCCAAGGATACCTGTCCTTTACTCCTTCCTGTGAGAAGGAATGCGAATGCACGTGTGATAGGTGGAACTCCAGCAACCCTTCTGAAACATAAGGCAAGCCCAGGCACACGGGCTACAAATGGCGGAGCAACAGTTTGAAAAGAAGCTGTGTGGTTGCACCAAATCCGGGGTTCCTGCCACCTGCTCCATGCATGAGAAATAAAGGTGCATCTGCCTAGTCTACTGCTGAGGAAGCTAGGGTAACTCCAGTATCGAAAATTAGCTTGAAAGTTTTCTTAAACAAAGACGAAGAATATAAGATAATCCAAACATTTAGAAGTAAGAATTCTGGCCAGGCAGTGGCTGCACACACCTTTAATCCCAGCTCTTGGGAGACAGAGGCAGGTGGATCTCTGAATTCAAGGCCAGCCTGGTCCAGGACAGCCAGAGCTGCACAGAGAAACCCTCTCTCAATAGATAGATAGATAGATAGATAGATAGATAGATAGATAGATAGATAGGTAGGTAGATAGACAGACAGACAGACAGACAGACAGACAGACAGACAGATAGATAGATGGATGGAACAAAAGAAGGAGGAGGAGGAGAAAGGAGAAGAACTCCCAGGAGGCATTATGATTCAGTCTTGAGACCCAAGAGGTGATCTAGGAAGATCAAGAATTAGAAGCCAGGCTTGATGACAGAGTGAGACCCCGTCTCAAAAATGAAAAAGAGAAAAGAGCAGCGAGTGCTGGGTGTTCGCAGCAGAGCCCCCGGGTGGGGTTCTGACTTGGTGGAAGCCAGGAAGGCCGGGTACTTGAGAACCTAAGTTTCAACTACCCCTATTTCCGGTGCGAGAGCGTTTGCCTAGTCTGAAGCCTGCAGTCAGCTGTGGAGAACCACCATATATAATCTCTGCCCGTGCGAATTTCGTGAGCACACGCAGGGTGTGGGTTAGAATGCCTTTTCTTTCTCATTATCTGTTTTTCTAGTTAAGGAAACTGAGGCTCAGCTTCTCACAGCAACAAAGGAACAGGTCCCCGCTCCAGCCAGCTTTGGAAGGAGGCCCAGCCCACTCCTCGCCCATCCTCTTCCTGGGCTCCCCACCCTACCCCACTGGAGTCTGCTGCTGTTCCCCAGGAACATGTCAGAGAAACCAAAAGAGGCATGGTGGGGCTTCATACTGGGGACCTCAGAGACAGGAAGGGGCCATCCACACGTTGTCAGCATATATGAGTCCTGGATGAAACAGGTAAGTAACCCTAAGTCCCTGCCGGGCCTGCTGCATGGAGGGGGTGTCAGCACACAGAGGCCATCACCAAGCAAGGACAGAGCTCGGGGAACGAGGCCCAGTGTGGAACCGACTCCTAGGGCTGCACAAAAATCCAGCTAGGCCAGCCTTGCCCAACATGTGGGTTACGACTCCTTGGGGTAGACTGACCCTCTCACAGGGTTGCCTAAGACCAGTGGAAAACACAGATATTTATATTGCAATTCATAACAGTAGCAGAATTACAGTTATGAAGTAACAATGAAAATAATTCTATGGTTGGGGTCACCACAGCATGAGAAACTGTATTAAAGGGTATCGGCCGTAGGAAGCTTGACAGCCACTAGACCCCGACTCCTTTTAGGACAGCTAACATAAGGAAGAGGAGGGCAGGGAAATAAAGCATGCTGACGAAAGAGGCCAGCAGGGCAGGCAAGTCCTGAAGCCCAGCGCCACTGTCCAGGCACCAAGCGAGACCCCCCAGGGAAGAGCCAGTTTATGTGTCGGCGCCACCTGGTGGCCGGTCTCCGAATAGCCCCTCTAGGGAGCCTGAGAAAAGTTCCTGAATGGGCTCAGCTGACAGCGGTTAAAATGGTGACCAATTTATTTTGGGCCGCAACGGGCAGCACAGTTTGCTGTTTTCCTTGGCTGCTTCTGCAGGCTCTGGTTTTCCCCTGGAAGTCATAAAAATACTTGGAAATTTTAAAGTTTCCCCAGGCGTAGGCTCATGGAATCAGCTGTGTGGAAGTGGCCTGGTCCTGGCCTGTCCGGTGACTTTCAGGCTCCTTAAGAGGAGGCTTACCACCTGCTGCTTGCTTTGCAAACATTTTGTAGGCACACCCGTACCTCCTTCTGGTCTCCATTTATTGCTCTCGTCCTGCCCTGTGCACCCCAGCCCCCACCTGCAGCTGGGACCCAGATGCCAGGATATTGTAGGTTGAGTTGTGTGTGTGAGGCCATCTCTGTGAGTTTGATCTCTTCATCTGTAATTGGAACAGTGACGTCTGAGCTGTTGGAAGATCATTAACCTCTCTGAGAAGTTATAAAAGTGAGGGGCTCTTTTTCTAGATGGTGTGGCTGTAGGCAATACTAGCCCTGCCCTGTGAGCAAGTAGGGGACTTAACAATAGGCTCCTTTTCCTAGGTCACCATCTTCATCCTTCTGGGGCTCCCATAGGGCTCTGCTCAAGGTCTTGCCCTCCAGGCGGGAGCCTGGGTGGGCAGTCCCCACCCCAGAGGCCAAGGCTCCTCTCTCCCACGTCACACAGTTCAGCTCCAAATTGCTCGTCCACCCTGATTTCAACATGACTTTCGAGAACCGCACCAAAGTTTCATTTTCTCTTTCTGCAGAAAGCTGGGTGGATGGAGCCAGATGGGTACTTGTTTCCGGGGTGGAAACAGATGGTGTCTCTCAGGTCTGAGAAGCCATTCTTCTCCTGTAGACTCCGTCACAGACCTGGCCACAGTACGGGAGCCGGTCACCCCAGCCCTAACAGTGCCCTGAGGTTGCTGTGACCATGGCAGAAGCTGCTGCTGACCTGAGCACAGGAGGTAAGCCGGGCCTCTTTCTTCCCACCCAGCAGCGGTGGCCCTGGGTGGGGTTTCTATGACGCCTTCTAGTACTTTCCTTGGCTCAGACAGCAGCAGTCCTCTGAGGACATAAGAACTCAGGAAGAGGGGCATTACAGGAAGCCAGCTTGCTTCAGGGATCCTGTGTCCCAGATCCTTCATCTCATGCTTTGGCCCTTGACATCCACTTTACATCCAGCCATCCTGGTCCCTCAGGCAAAAGTGGAAGCTCTCACCTCATAGATGAGGTCACTAAGGCCTGTGACAGGCCTCGGGCTCTGAGCTGTGAGAGGGGACTTTGTTTTGATAAGATTTGGCCCTGATTCTATGTTCTTGCTCTTCTCCTGGGTGCAGGGCTGTGCTAGACCAGGCTATGGTGCTGTGCGAGGCTATGGGGCTGAGCTAGACCAGGCTATGGGGCTGAGCTAGACCAGGCTATAGGGCTGAGCTAGACCAGGCTATGGGGCTGTGCTAGACCAGGCTATGGGGCTGTGCTAGACCAGGCTATTGTTGCAGGGCTGTGCGAGGCAAGGCTGTAAGACTGTGGACAGGATTTACTTTGCTACTTTTCTTCATTGTTTTTAAACTTTTTTTTTTTAAAAAAAATTCATTTATTTACTATATATACAGTGTTCTGCCTGCATTCCAGAAGAGAACACCACCAGATCTCATCTAGGTGGTTGTGAGCCACCATGTGGTTGCTGAAAATTGAACCTCTGGAAGAGCAGTCAGTGCTCTTAAACCCTGAGCCATCTCTCCAGCCCCCAAAATTACCTCTTTCAATCCCTAACACTATGCTCAAAGTTGTTATGGAGAGGCTGGGCCGTGTGGCAGGATCAGGGCCAGGCAGAGAAGACCAGGAACTAACCCTCACCTGGTGACTGTGACTCCTAATACTATCCTTGCCAGCCAATCAGCTCCACCCAGCCCTTCCCATTCCCTCTTCAGAAAAAGCTCTGCCTGCATGCCCTTAGGGGCCAGTGGGGCGAGGAAGGCAGGAGAGCCCATGGCAGGGCACAGGCCCCAGCAGAGAAAAGGTTTTGCAAGACAAGGAAAAGTCAAGCTAGGAGTGGAAGCTCAGCCCAATAATCTCATCAGGGTTGGAGGGGGAGGCAGCTGAGGCAGGAGGATTGCCGTGAGTTCCAGGCCAGCCTGAGATATTAGGTGAGACTTTGTCTCAAGAGGGAAAAAGAACAGTAAAAGCAGGCACATGGGTAAGCAGGAAAACAGAAGGGGCCAGAGGAACATGAGGAACTTGGGTGGCTCTCGGGGTGGGGCACAGAGGTGGGCTAACACGGAGGAGGCTAGCAGAGGTACATCTGACCTCTCGGTAGAGGGTATTGGAGGGGACCCTTCTGGAGTTGACGGTCACCTGGGAGATTAGTAATGCCATCAGGAAGATGGCATTGAGGCTGGGGTCGGGGGAGAAAAAGGAAGTGGGTGATACCTGAGCTGGGTTTTGATTTTCAGGGTTTCTGATGCACTAGGCATGGGAAGGGAGACCCTGTTTCTCATGTCTACTGGGCTCCTGGCCCGGGAATACCCTTATCATCTATGTGGGTACTAAACTGGAGAGAAAGGGGCTCCCTGGGCAATCTGGGACAGGCATTAGACACCATGGAGGAGTTCTGGGCCAGGCTTGGCTCCGTACCGCTCCCTCTTGCTCCATCATCCGAGAGCTGAGGGTTCCTTCCCTCTGGGGTTCCACACCTGCACACAGGACAACCTGCACACTCCTCTGCCCTATGATTATCTGGCCATCCAGCTGTGGGGCCAGGGCCCACTCTGACTGACACTCTTGCATCTGAGTGATGTCCTCGATGCTGTCTGCTTGGCCCAGGTCATGGGTGCCTCCTCTGCTCTGGGCTCTCAGATATTCCTTGCCTCTGGAGCTTAGATGCTAGCCTCCCATGGGGACCAGGCTTGACTCAGCTCTTCTCTCTGTTCCTTCCTGAGACAATCTGGAGCAAAAGATCCTAGAGGCACTGAGTGAAGTCGGTGGCTCTGTGAAGATTGGCCAGCTGGTAAAGAAGTGCCAAGCGCCCAAGAAAATAGTCAACTCAACCCTTTACCGCCTGAAGGAGGAGGGCAAAGTATCCTCCCCAGCCCCTGCAACCTGGTGCTTAGGCAGGAGCGCTTCTGTAGACGAGGCTCCCGCAGTCCCTGAGGACACCACCACTCAGCCAAGTCTCGGTAATTTGTCATTTAGGGGCAGAGTAGACTCCCCTCAAGAGCCATCTTGGCAATGGGCAAGTTGAGGTTCAGGCTTGGTTTCAAATCTGAGCTCTGTCCTCCTCTGTCCCTTGATTCCTTCTGGCCAGTGGAGCTAAGGTAGAGCCTAGGGCTTGTACATGGTAGGGGTACAATAGACACCAGCAATAGCAAAGACATAGTCCAGGCAAAAGTCACAGCCATTGAGCAGAGGGCCCACAGTTTCAAATGCTGATGTTATACCCAAGGCCACCATGCCTTCAGTAACTCCCACAGCTGGAGACAAAAGGAATCAGTCTCAAGACCGCACCCTTCGGCAGCCAGCGGCTGTGACCCAAGCAGACAGACAACCCTGGGACCCCTAATTCTCCCTAGTTCTCCAGTGGAAGTGTTCCCGGGGCTCAGTGGAGCAGAGTGTCTCCTGTCTCCAACGGACACATCTTTCATTGTCCAGCCCCAAGATGTAGGCACAGCTCCAGAGAGTCCTGGCCTTCAGCTCAGTGTACACCATAGCCCCCCCCCAAACCATTCTAAGGGGCACAAGGGGAATTTGGGATCACATCCACCACGGCGGCATCTCAGAGGCCAGACTCACTGTTAGAAGCCAAAGGCTCTAAATGGCCAAGAAGTGGTTTCTCCTCCAGGTGCTGATACGCCTGAGCCAGCCACTAGGGTGAGAGCCTCATTCATGTATCCGGTCTCCAGATGACCACTGTATCACCATGTGCCTCTGATAAAACAGGACAGAGCCCCTGGGCTTCATACGTGTCCCAGGCTACAGCCAGCGGGTGGTGGACCCTTGCAAGCCCAGGGCCCTACTAATGCCTGCCCTATTAACTTTTCAGATGATAGAATTTTCAGATTCCTGGAGGCCAACGGACCTCGCAGGGCCCTGCATATCGCCAAGGCTCTGGGCATGAATACGGCCAAAGAGGTGAACCCAGACCTGTACAGGATGAGAAGCAATCACCTTCTGAGCTATGACGGGCAGGCGTGGATGATCTATGACTCAAGTCGGAAAGGTCAAGGGCTGGGTATGAGAGGTCAAAATTGGTTTGGAGGGGTCAGGGGTCAGGGGTGGATGGTCTAGGGACAGGTTGGAGAGTTCAAAGTTCAGGTCAGGAAGGTTAAGGATCAAGACCGGATCATCTGGTGTCAGGTTGAAAATGTCAAGGGTAAGGATTAGATGGTTTAGGGTCAGATTGTTTCGTTTTGCTTTTAGATTTACGTCTTTTATTTTACGTGTTATGAGTGTTTGCCTGCATGTATGTAAATGCACCACATGGATGCAGTGCCTACAGAGGCCAGAAGAGGAAATTGGATCTCCTGGCTGGATTTGGAGTGACAGATGGCTGTGAGCTGCCATGTGGGTACCGAGTGATGCACCCTCTGGCAGAGCAGCCAATGCTCTAACCACTTAGCCATCTCTCCCTTAGGGTCAGGTTTTATGGATACTCTTTTGGGAGGGGTTCCAGGAGGCAGAGATGGTTGCAGGCTTAGGGAGGGAAGGCCACCCAGCTATTGGCCTTGGCTCGCCTGCCTGCCTTGCTCCCGGTGCCCATAGGGCTTCCGGCTGCTAGAGGAAGAGGGACAGTGGGGATGGCACCTGGATTAAAGCACGGGGACTCAATGGGATATTATTCTCTAGCTCACTCTGGAACGAGCCAAGAGTGCGCTGCCATCATTTACCAGCAGAATCCCATCAACATGATCTGCCAACAAGGAGCCAGCAACCATATCTCCATCTCTGAGTCAGAAGCCATCCAGATCGGGCATGGGAACACCATGCTAAGGCAGATAGCCTGTGCTCAGAGAGGTAAGAGGAGGGGCCTGGCTGGGACGGCTGTTGTGCCCAAGTTGGGGGAGAAAGTGAGGAAGGAGTACAAGGCCTCAGGCCTGGCTCTTCTCAGAAGCCTGGAGCATACCTCACCTGGAATCCCTTTGTTTTCCTTCTGCTCAATGAGATCTAATCTGTGTATGAGAGAGAGAACAATTCAGCTCCCTCCTCCCTTGCTCTCAGCAAGCTTTGTGTCTTAGAGGGTGTGGGGCCACCTCACACTCTAGTCCTGTCGCCCACGAATGAGAGCATCAGCTCCCAGTCTAGATTCTCTCTCTATGCACCAGTCCTTGGGAGAAGTCTGCTCTGCCCCAGGCCTCAGTTTCCCCTGCCATGACTCTCCTCGTTCTGACAGCCATCCTGTCTATTTTACTTATGATGGGAAGCAGTTAGCCATTTTTTTCAGACCCAAATGTGTTTAAAAGCTTTTGCCTTCCTTTAATTTGAAAACCATAACAATGAGTCTGAAGTTGTGCACCAGGGGAAAAAAAAAGGGGGGGGGGAGGGTGAAGACCCGAACTGTCTTGTCAAGAGGCGTGGAGGACTCGTTCCCACGCAGGGGACTTTCTTTTGATGGGGGTCAAAGGTTGTGCAGAGCCAGGAGGCAGGTGGCATGTGTTCCCTGGATCTGCAGGTACCCCAACAGTACCTTGAGCCCAGCTGCCAACCACGGGTTCCCCAGCCTCGGGACAGAACAACCTGGAATCGTCTCTAGCAAATTCAATGCTCTGCCCTTCCCAGGTCCCAGACCCCACCATCCTCTCCTGCTACCCGCTCCAGATAACCCCTCTTCTCAGAACACCCCACCTGGTGCCTGGGGAGCTCAGCACATCCACATGGAGAAGTCCTTGCTCCGCCGTGTGCAGCTGGGCCACGGCAATGAGATGAGCCTTCCGAGGGACCCAGGGCAGCACCCTGCGGAGGAACACCCTGCTGGCAGCTTTACTGGCAGTCCCCCAGGTAGCATGGCCTCCCCCACCCCACATACCCAGAAAGGAACTGAAGCCAGTCTCTGTGAGAAGAGAAGCATGATGGGAAATTCATTCCACCCTGGCCCATGGGAGGGGTACCGCTGAACAGCATGTTCAACTTTGTGGTCTGGCCCTAGCGGTTTCCAGTCTCCCAGCAGCACCAGTGAACAGCAAACCACAGTCATCACTGCAGAGAGGAGGCTGAGTGGGAGGGAGCAAGGTGACAGGACCGGCTAAATCCTGCGTGGTGGCCCGAGGAAAGGGACGGAGAGGCCATCAGTGTACCATTGCACAGTGACCAGAGGACCTGGCCAGAGGCCTGCAGGGAACTGTAGATTCTTAGATGATCAGCGGTCTCAGGGGGACTAATAGAACTACAGAGGAGTGTCTCCATAGAGAACTAGTCCGTGAGGCAGGGCGTGGCAGCAGGGACAGCAAAGAGCTCTGCCGTGGCCTTGGTGACAGTTTCTGGGAGTGAAGGGAGCCTACGAGCAGGGGATGGGGAAGCTAAGCATGGACGTTTCCTGACTTTTGAGTGTAAAAGTGAAGAGGAGACATCCTGGTCCAGTAGATGCTGCGGTGAGCCTGGGAGAGGAAAGAAATGAACCACAATGGGACAGCATGTCCTTGATGGCCACCTGGGAACTGGCCGCAGGCAAGAGGAGGGGCTCTGGAGGCCTAGAAGATGCCGAGGCCAGAGTGGTTTTGCTGAGCTCAGGGGTGAGGCAGGGGCGGGGGGCAGTTGCGGGCCACTGAGGACATGTGCCGGGACATGGAGGTGGTGCCTAGGCAAAGGTTATGAACCAGATCGGCAAGGTCACTGGTGAGAGCAGCCCCGAGGCTGGGACAGCCAGGTTGGGTGTCACGGCCAGGTCCCTGTGCAGGTCTCCCTTCTTTCACCTTCTCTCTTTGGTTTGCTTGCAGTCTCGGCTACCTCTGCTGATGCAGGAACTTCTTTCCACATGCAAACACCCGAGCCAGGCCCTCACCCCGAGGGGGTCACCGCCCAGAAAGTCCACATCAAATCCTCCTGGCTGGAGGATGCCACCATCGGCAACAGCAACAAAATGACCATCCGCACTGCTTCACAGGGTGAAGTTGGGGAGTCTGGAAGCAGCAAGGAGCCAAAGGAAGACACAGGTGAGCCTGGGCACAGGAGGTGTCTGCATGAGTGCCCGCTGCACACACTCATCCCGCAATCAACCATCAGGCAATGGCCTGGAGCAGACAGTGGGACTCAGCGAGTGGACCAAAAGCCAGCATGCAGCTCCAGGCTTCAGCCTGTGTTACAAGGATCCGCTTGTTCGTCCCGGCCATTCAGACCTGAAATAATCGCATAGAAACTATTAATTAAATCACTGCTTGGCCCATTAGCTCTAACTTCTTATTGGCTAACTCTTACATTTTGATTTAACTCATCTCTATTAATCTGTATATCACCATGAGGTCGTGGCCTACCAGCAAAGCTTCAGCACATCAATCTTCAGCGGCAGATCCATAGCGTCCCCTTGACTCCACCCTTCTTTCTCCCAGCATTCAGTCCAGTCCTCCTCGCCTACCTAAGTTCTGCCCTATCAATAAGCCAAGGCAGTTTCATTAATGGTAATCACAGCACACAGAGTGAACTCCCAATCATCCCTGAGGACCATTTGGGAACAAAACCAGGGAGCACATGGGCAATGCAGAAACCCACCACAGCGGTTGTGGGCATATTCTCCAGAGGAGCCCACAGGATGCCTGCAACCCCTGAGACCTCACTTGCTCCTCCACTGTCTGTTTCTCCCCTCCCTGCAGACTCAAGTTCTAAAGCCTCACCGTGTGGAAGCTGCTCCCACACCCCCAGCAGCTCCACGCTGCTCGTTCCTGAGCTGAGGACCATGACTCTGGGAGACAGCAGTCCCCAGCCTAGAGAACCTGTGCTTAGGGAGGACGGAGCCTCCGATACAGGGGGCTGTCGGACTCAGGAATGAGGTGAGAGCAGAGGAATGGAGAAGGTGCAGGAAAGCAACCTTTGTGGGCTTCTTGTGGCTGCACACAGGGCTCAGACTAGACTGTGTGTGTGTGTGTGTGTGTGTGTGTGTGTGTGTGTGTGTGTGTGTGTGTGATTTGGATGGGATACCTTCCCTGAAAAAGACCCAGGTATTGATAGCTTGGTCCAGGGCTGGGACTGATCACTATGAAGTGGCAGGATTCTGGGGGCCCTGAGATCATCCACACACTAGTCTCCAGAAGGATTTATTGTCTGATGACATCACTGGGACGGAGTAGAGACTTTGGGAGAATGAAGGAAAGGAGACAGTGAAGACATCAGGGTCTCATGTAGTCCAGACTGGCTTTGAGTCACTATGTAGCCAAGGATGACGCTGAACTTCTGATCTTCTGACCTCCACTTCCCGAGAGTGGGTGGGTACCACCACATCCAGTTCATGGGATGCTAAGGACAGAATTTCGGTCACGCTACACAAGTGTTCACCAGTGCAGCCACAGCCACAGCCTGGGCCATGCCCCCTCTAGTCTCTGTATCTCTCTCTTCTCCCTGCCTGTCCTGAGGTGAGCACCCCTCCTCTGCCATGCCTTCTCCCTTTCCACAGGCCAGAAAGCAATGGAGCCATGGGACCCTGCTGACACCTCTGCCACTATGAGCCAAACCAGCCTTTCCTGCCTCAAGATCAATCATGAGCCAGCTCTACCAGTCCTGGGTGTTCAACAGAAGAGACAAGCCAACACAGCACACAGATAGCTGCACATCCCTGTTGACTGTGCACTGTCTGCAGCAGCTGAGAAATGGAACCAACCTTGCTGTCATCAATAAAGAGTGAATTAAGGAAATTCGGAGTATGCATACAGCCACATAAAATAATGAGGTTGTTTCAAATGCTGGAAAGTGGATACAACCAGAGACCACCATGCTAAGTGAGTGAAGCCATTTCATGTAATCGGAAGTCTGTGTGTCCCACAGCCACTCTCGAATAAACACTCAGAGGTTTATATTAATTATAAATAAAATATAAATTATATCAATTATAAATAAACATAAAGCCAATCGCTTGGGCTTATTACTAACTAGCTCTTACATTTTAAGCTAACCCATATTTCTATTTATGCTCTGCACATGGCAGTACTTTTATTAGCATGGCACATTCACCTCCTGCTCCCTCTGCATCTGACTGGCGGCTCCCTTCTTCCTAGCATCCTTAGTTTGGTCACCCAGCCTATACTTCCTGACTGGCTACTGAACAATCAGTGTTTTACTAAACCTATTTGAGTGTCAAATCTTTAAACTGTACAAGAGGATTTTCCCACAGCAATCTCAGGGGGAAAAATATCATGTTTCTCTCATTTCTGTCTCCTAGATTTTACATAGATTTGTAGAACCACACAGGTGGATATGACATCAAAGTAAAGGTAAAGGCAGCCAGGAGATGAAAGGGACACAGAAGAGGACAGCAGAAACAGGGGGTGGGGGAGGACAGTATGTGTGCACAAAAGTGTACCTCTGAAACCCAGAACCATGCACAGTGCATAAATGCCCCAGATAAAAAGAAAATGTAAACTCTAATATGACTCTAATATGTATATATTCCATACTTTCTTCATCCATTCTTCCATTGAAGGGCATCTATGGAATATATACATATTAGAGTACTACTCAGCAGTAAAAAACAAGGACTTCTTGAATTTTGCATACAAATGGATGGAAATAGAAAACACTATACTGAGTGAGGTAAGCCAGACCCAAAAAGAGGAACATGGGATGTACTCACTCATATTTGGTTTCTAGCCATAAACAAAGGACATTGAGCCTACAATTAGTAATACTAGAGAAGCTAAATAAGGAGAACCCAAAGAAAAACATATAGGCATCCTCTGGAATATTAACCTTCATCAGGCGATGAAAGGAGACAGAGACAGAGACCCACATTGTAGCACCGGACTGAAATCTCAAGCTCCAATCAGAAGGAGAGAGAGCACGAGCAAGGAACTCAGGACCGCGAGGGGTGCACCCACACACTGAGACAATGGGGATGTTCTATCGGGAACTCACCAAGGCCAGCTGGCCTGGATCTGAAAAAGCCTGGGATAAAACTGGACTCGCTGAACATAGTGGACAATGAGGACTACTGAGAACTCAAGAATAATGGCAATGGGTTTTTGATCCTACTGCACGAACTGGCTTTGTGGGAGCCTAGGCAGTTTGGATGCTCACCTTACTAGACCTGGATGGAGGTGGGTGGTCCTTGGACTTCCCACAGGGCAGGGAACCCTGATTGTTCTTTGGGCTAATGAGGGAGGGGGACTTCATTGGAGGAGGGGGAGGGAAATGGGAGGCAGTGGCGGGGAAGAATCAGAAATCTTTAATAAATAAATAAAATTTAAAAAAAAAGAAAATGTAAAATCAGCACATCCTACAGCCAGTGTTTTACCTGACTAAAGAGCATCTAAGTCACTCAGAAAACTGAGTTAAAGACCTAAGCCCGGGGCAGGTGAGATGGCTTAGCGCAAGAGGCTCGCATCCAAGTCTCAAGGCCCAGGTTGGAATTCCAAGAACCACATGGTAAAAGGAGAAAACATGGTTGTTCAAACTGTCCTCTGACCTCCAGAGGTGTGCCTGGGGCACAGTGCCCCACAACCCCCTACCAGCAAAAGTAAATAAAAATGTAAAACTCCTTTTTAAATTCGGAGAGATGGCTCAGTGGTTAAGAGCCCTTGCTGCTCTTGTAGACAACCTGAGTTTGGTTCCTAGTACACACAACAGGTGACTCACAATGGCTCGTGACTCCAGTTCCAGTTCTACTCCAGAAATGGGCTGAGATGATTCAGCCTCACAGAATATTCCAGTCAGGACTTGACCATAATCCTAAATTTTCTTTGGCTTCCCATAAGATTATCAGTGCTCCCAATCAGTAGGAAGTAGCCTAGAAAACCATACCCACATTCCCGAAGAATGGATTACTAATGTTTGTCTTTTTTTAGTGTGTTGGCTACAAGCAATTATGGATAATGGTCAGGAAAAAAGCTAACAAAGGAGATTAGATTCAAGGTTCTTGTTTTGAAAAAAAAAGGGGGGGATATATATGATAAGATAAAAGGGTAGATTATAGAATCTACTCTGAAAAGAAAATCGGGAGGATATAGATATGATCTTGTTTTAAAAAGAAAAAAAAAGGCCAGCTGGTAGTGGCACACAACTTTAATCCCAGTATTAGGGAGGCAGAGGCAAGTGTATCTCTGTGAGCTCCAGGTCAGCCTGGTCTATAGAGCGAGTTCCAGGGAGGGAATATAGATATGATAGGATAGAAGGGTAGATTATTAAATTTACTCTGAAAAGAATAAGGGAGGATATAGATATAAGATAAAAAGGTAGATTATTGAATCTACTTTTAAAAAGCAACTACTAGTTTTAAATGTTTTACATTGGATTAGATTTTGTATATTGTATACAAATTTTGTATATTAATACAAATTTGAGGTTATTTTTGTTAAAACATACTGTACATACATTTCTAATCTTGTTCAAGTTATTGTACCTGTACAACTCATTTAACAATGTAATGCAAATTTCTAGTCCTTGAAAATTATTACCAACTGTTTACGATAATAAGAAAACATAGGTTAATAGTTAGTCACCCAGTATAATCGAACTTGTAGTCACATTAGATATGTTTTCATGGTCAGATATAATTTAGATAGACAGGTCATCTTCAGACACTTCAGAGATCTACAGAATGTAACATTTAAGATGTTTTAATAACCTAGGTTCTTCTTTTTCATGACAATGAGACAGGCCTGCTCCTGGAAGCACCAATCTACTTCAGAGAAGATAATGGGTATCAAAGAAACTCCACATGAGGTTTGGTTTCTTTGTGGCTAACAAGGCTGGAAGAGGAGCAGCAGATCATAGCCCTGACAGAGACCACACCTTAGTTTCACTTCACTAGGCTGGGACAGAGCTGAGCAAGCAGGTCTCATGAAAACCACAACTTATGGGTGACCATCAGCAAGCGCCCCCAAAGCCCTTCTGCTGGCTCAGCAGATGTCCCCAGAAACTTCTACAGGCTAAAGACAGCTTTCCCTACCCTGCTGCTGGAAGTTCCCTAACCACTAGGACCTCCCACCAATCAGCCTCCATACTAATCTTTCCTTCACGAATCAACCCCAGATTAATCCCTCCTCTTCAAAATTCCCCTAACTCTGCTGAAAAGGAACTTCTAGGCTACTTTGGGGGTGACTCTTTTGACACCCCAATGTTGGAATCAATAAAATGCTCTTGCTATTGTATAAGTGGTTGTTGGTCTTCTTTGGGGGCTTTTCTCAGACCCTAACAGTGGCAAAAGTAAGCCACTGGGCAAGAAAATGCCCCTGCCTCGACTGTCCTAATTAGACAAGCAGGACACAAAATGTCCTGCTTCACAGAAGTCTGTTGGATAGACTAGGCCCATAGGCCAAAGACGGATGCCCCAACATTGCAGAGGAACTTGGGGTGACTGTCCAGGCAGCCAGATGTTTCTCTCATTACTCACATTATTTGGAAGTCACCTGCTTGCACTTCCTGCTTACTCAGTTAATATTATTTCCTTCTTGGGTCTCTCAGGGAGTTAAAGACTAGATACATAGTTATAGCTATTGTTTTCCTTGTTTGCCTAACACAGAAATCAGGTTATGATAGAAAGTAAATTAAGTAAAAGACTTTGAACTCACCAAAATAGGATAGATATGGAGTATTTTCTCTGGATTTGTCAAATACAAATGGACTAGTTATTGTTGATGTATTTATTGCCTTACATATTGTATATACTTATTGTATATAGCTTTTCTTATATTAGTTATGGCCTTCTTTTTTATTTTAGACAGAAAGGGGAAATGTAGTGGTATTTCACTTGTATTTTAATAAATAAAACTTGCCTGAGGATCAGAAAAGTAAAACAGCCCCACTGGTCAGCCTTATAGACCAAGCAGTAGTAACACATCTTTAATCCCTGTAGCCACAGTAGCTGCCATAGAAACTGGCGGTGCATGCCTTAATGCCAGTGGTGCACGCCTGTAATCCCAGCCCTAGAGAGGATTATAAAATGAGAGGAGCCAGCTCACAGACGCAGTCTCATTCTGAGATTCCTGAAGGCAGGATCGTCATTTCAGACTGAGGTCAAGATCAGAGTCAGTGGCTGGCTGCTTTGCTTTTTGGATCTTCAGGTTGAACCCAGTTTCTCTCTCTGAGTCGTTATTCTTCATGCTTCACATGGTTGCAATGGATCATGGGAGTGTGAAACCCAGGGTGACAGTGCCTGGGCCCCAGAGCCATGCTGGGCTGCAGCATGAATAATAAAAACCCAGAGACAGATATTGGGGTTCAAGCTGAAGATCAGAAAAGCAAAACAGTCAACTACTAGAAGACCTTTAACCTCTACCAAATCTTCAGACCAAAAGAGGAGATTCTGTCTCCACGAACCCTCAGACTCCACACTCCACTGACTCGAACTCACAGAGATCCGTCTGCCTCTGTTTCCAGAGTCCTTGGATTAAAGGTGTGCGCCACCACTCCCTGGTCTGTACGGCTGACTAGCGTGGCTGCTTTGCCCTCTGATCTCCAAGCAAGTTTTACTTATTAAAACACGAATAATACACCACTATCCTGGGCAGCTGAAGACTCTAGATTCTGGTCTCTGAGGCCAGGTGAGGGAGGAAGTCTGGGATGAGAACTTAACTACGCCGTTGTGCATCAAGCTCAGCAGAAGGCAGCAGAGATGGGGGCCGCACTTTGGGATGAAAGGAAGCCCAACGCACAGGAAACGAAGCTGGAAAACTGGCGCGGGAAGGAGTCAGGTCGTTTGCACAAGTCTTAGCTGAGGGGCAAATGTGTTGCCTGGCAGCTGGGCAGTGGGGCTGCTCATGTCACCTGGGACCCTGTGACACGACCCAGCCTTCTTGGTCACAGTGCTGTGCTGCAGTCCCCAGAGCATGTTGCCCTGGGACATCCCATTGTCAATGCAACCCACGAGCAACCTGCTGGCTCTCCCAGGCCTCTTTCTCGGCAGCACTCTGAAAGCCAGAGGCCGATCTCAGAGCCGTCCTGAGGTCCATGGTTAAACAGGCCCGGTGTCGGTGGGGAAGAAACTGCGGACCGTGAGCCTGTCTAAGCAGAGTCCTTGCTGCCCGGCGCGGTTTCCCCCTCTGCGATTAATTTGTCATAAATGCGCTGACAAAGCGCTGCGCGGCTAATGGAAGCTGGAGGTGAAGGCCGAAGCCATCTCTCAGGGGAGGAAATTAACGAGGCTCCATTAAAAGCAAGAAGTGATTGAGTCAGCCCGTCCACTGCCCTCAGTTCTCCGGCCCATCTGCTTCCTTCCCCGGCCCCCTCCCCTTCAGGGTGAGGAGTGAACTTGGCCTTTGGATAGAGATTGGAAGCCGGTTGATCCATTCCCCCTGAAATCGCTTCACATTCCAGTTGCTCAAGGGGCCCTTCACCCATGCTTCAGCAGGGCGGCAGCTGAGACTAGGAAAGGGGAGCAGGACCACGCTGGCTTTGTGTGATAGAAGCTTCGCTTGCTCAGGTGTCAACAAAAAGTGGAATGGATGCACCCGAGCACTCCAGAGATCATAGGATGGCACTTTAGGAATGGCTGTCCAGGAACTCAAGCTACGAGTTCAGCCTTTGTCCTCTACATCGACAGCCTGCAGCAAAGTCCCACCAGTTACCAGAGACTCAAGTAGGAAAATACCAGGAAAGTGTCCCACCGAGGATTCTGATTGGTTGGCAACAGGTCACATGCTTATCCTTGACCCAATTAGAGTTCAGAACAATGAAAGGTTACGGTGGAGCCAAAATCACTCACTGGGTGTGTGAGGTGAAGTTTCCTTGCAAAGGGCGTCCCGGGGTAAGAGGGAAGCCACTGTAGACTGGAAGAAACCAGAGCCCATTCCAGCCACAGCTGTGGATGCTTCTAGAAACCCTCAGAAGACAAGACCTTCTTAAAGGGAAGGGGGTCGGGAATCTTCATTTGAAAGCAGTGGGGAAGTGGAGACACTGTAAGGGGTGGCAAAGATTCAGGCTCGACCAAGGCCTCCCCGTGGGTCCAGGGCTGCAGGCTGGCTGTGCAGAGACAACAGGTGCAGGAGACGGAGTAACTCAGAGAACAGCTTCCCTCGTCAGAACGTCCTCCTCTGTGTCCTCTGTAGAACTCTGGGAGGTTGTGATGACCGGCCTGGCATTTGCAGGAGGGTTTACTTTCCACACCGGCGCTTGTGCGTGCTAGGCGTGTATTCTGGCACTCGACGGCAGGT